TTTCTTATGATTTTCCTATGGTTTGCCTACATATTTTGCATTGTTTTGATATAGACTCGCTTATTTTTTCGCAACACACACGTTTGACGATTTACGCCAAAGGCGTGGTTGCGCCGGCTTTCGCTTTTGGGAAGCACAGGAGTTCCTTGGCGCTGGAGGGTTTGCCTACGTTCCAGTGCGCAGGGGGTCAGATTGTGTTGGGCTCTGATCACATCAACATGCGACTGCATACTATCACCGTCTATGAACGACAATGATGCTGTAGAGATACTGTTGTGGCATTAAGTATCGAAATTCTTGAGTACTTGTAACCTCTGCTCTCTGCTTAGATACCGCCAGAAGTGGGGAGTTTGTGAGCCCCAGTCCCACGGTTTTCGGATTTCGGATTTTTGGGCATGAGGTCGAGCTTCACTACATCGCGCAAGAGCGCGCTGATTCAGAGAAATGCCTGGGCGGCGAACCTAGTCGAAAAAAAAGGAGCACCGGTGATGAAGCATTGCTGCGGGCTGGAATGGTCCTTGCGTTGTTGCCTGTGCTTTTCCGCCACAACATCTTCCTTGACAAGCGCAGCTGACAGCACAGGCTCCAGATGTCTTGAAGATAGTTGCATGGAGGACTGTGTTAGGAGCAAACTTCCCGAGTTCTGCGGATGGCGGACGACAGGTTCTTTCTGGCACCTTCAGACCAGCCCAAGCTTCAGACTCAATGATTCCAGCTGCCCCGCCCTCCCCCCAAACACCCTTAAACTTAAACCCTACGCCCTACACATCCCTGCACCCGAACCCCATGAATTCGAAAGGAAGCCTCGTTTCAAGCTCCGAAAGAGGCCTCATAAGACAGCTCGGATGGTTGCCACCCAGCGCAAGGGCCGAGCCTCCGAGCAGAAGGCGGCGGCCACAACGACGCGATGCTTTTTTTTGCGATGAAGGGTGGCCAATTACGATCATTGGATCATCCTCAGCGTCGTTGCCTCGTTGCCATACTATGAAAAAGAAAGAGTCGGTAGTGTGATAAGTGACACAAGAGTGAGCGTGTGAGTGTTTTGACGTGAGGCGCACGACGGAGTGAGCCATGGACGAGTGGAAATAGAGTGAGTAGTTGCAGTAGTAGTAGTAGTAGTAGTAGTAGTAGTAGTAGTAGCAGCAGCAGTAGTAGTAGTAGTAGTAGTAGGTGGTGAGAGCTTGTGTGAAGCTCAGTCAGGGAGCCAGCGACAGAGTCGTGAGCAACTGCATGCGTGTGCAGGCAGCACGCAAGAGCGAACCAGTGGAGTAGCTGGCCGGAGTGTCTGAGAGCGAGTGAATAATTGAACTGTCGAGTGAGGAGACCGAGCGCGCATGTGAGCAAGGGTGGTAGAGGGCAACGGGTGATGGAGGGAAATGGAGGCAGAAACCGCGTGTCAATACACCCGCACCCACAGCACGCAGACGCCCCGACACCCGCACCCACACCTACACCCACACCCACACCCACACCTACACACACACACGCGCAAGCGCAAATCGCCGCATGCTTGTTCAGGTAGGTGCATGTCTACGTGCCAGCAAAACACGGAGCAACAAAACACGGAGCAACATTGAGCCATGCATACCAAAAAGCAGCTGCAATACGTGCCACCTTGCCTCACTGAGACGCCGACACAAGTCAACCAACTTACCACAAGGAGCAAGAATCAACTCGTGGCATGTCCATGAGTGAATGACCAGTTGAGTGCCACGCCGGTGGGTGTATAGAAAGAAACACACACGCACACACAGATGAATGATGGCCGCTGTAGGTCTTCCGGACCATTTCGCCAACTGCTCTTTTGGATCAGTTCCTTCTGGACAGACATCTGCTGCGCGCTGGTGTCTGCTGATTCCATGGCCCGCGACGGACCTGCAGGCGAATGGTGCGAAGCCAGCGCCGCAAGACGACGACTCTTTGTTAGCCCCACCACCAGGCCTGCTTGAGAAAAGCTGGCGGGCCTGTGCAGCTACTGAAAGTTCCAGGCAGATGGACGGACTCCTTCCTCATCCTTAAGGCTCTTAGCGGCAGAGCGGAGGACTGTGCAGCTTTGCTTGTGCTTCTTGCAGGTGTGCCGATGGGCTGCAAGTCAAGGCCCTGAAAGCCTTCTCTGCTTGCTTTCGCCTAGAATCGAAGAGTGCCCCTAAAGGCCCTAAACCCCCGGCTGCAGGGCTGGAGCTCTACGCCTCGGGTCCTGGCACGCGCCGCCTCCTCAGTGTCCCAAGGCTTCTCAAGAGCCTGCTTAAGAGCCTATTAATAAGGGCCTAACTAAGAAGGTATCGATGGTTCTTTGAAGTGCCGGTCCCGCAGGAAAGAAAAGGAGCGCCGAAGAACAGGTGCCATTGAAAACTGCCGCAATGCAGTTCGTGAGAGCCTTGGAGGTGACTCCGCGAGGCATAGGCATAGGAGAGTGTACATCCTTGCGGATGTTCAGGTGGAAGCCCACAAGGTGCCCGTGGGCTTAGTTGCGATTCTCGTCGCCTCCTGAGCCTCTACCGGTTCGAAGCGGACCGGTGCCCTCTTCCGCACTGCCTGCGCGCTCTGCGCAGGTGATCACTTGCGTCCGGGCCCCCGGCGGGTGGCAGAACACATGAGTGAGAGCGAGAGAGGGCAGCGCTTGGCCAGGCCATCATCATTGGCGGCGAGAACCTCGATTTTAGGCTTCCTGAGAGGCAAGTGGAAGCCGAGGAGCCCCCCCCAAAAAAAAGACTCAAGACTGGAGTCCCCGGGGGGAGTCTAGTCTAGCGGGTCTCGGTCAGAAAGATTGGGGTTTAGGGAGCCTCCAAGCCTGATATGTCGCGCGACGCGTTGCAGAGAGGACCACTACGGAGTGCTCGGGCCCCTCGGCAGAACGAGCGGAGTGTGCATGTAGACCATGCTTCTTTAGGCTGGGAGTGGCGCGGGACGCCCAAACCGCGGACGTGAAGCGCGCCTACAAGACGATGGCCAAGCGCTGGCATCCGGACAAGAGCCTTGCAAGGGCATTCTTAGACTTGCTTTCGCTGATCTTCGGCCTCCATCCCCAGAGTTGCATTCTTTGGGGCAGCCCAGGAATCCGAATTGCAGCTCCTGCCAGGAGTGCTCATGACAGACAGTGCCTGTGCAGCCTCAAAGAGTGCTTTTCCACCCAGCACGAAAAACTTGGGGCGAAGGAGACCTTCTCAAGGATCGCTGTGGCCTACGAGACGCTGCCCGGATGCCCGGAAGCACGGGATTCCAGCAGCCACAGCAAAACCTCGCTGGAGGTCCGACGAATCAAAGCGCGCTGCTTACGACGAAGCCGGCGGCACGGCCGGCTGCTGAAACGGAGAGACTTGCGCCTTGAGGGGGGGTCGTGAGGGCAGTCATCGACTCTTTCTTTCTGCGGCCTCTTGACCGAGGCGAGCTCCGAATTGACGTCCCCGAAGAGCGTCCCTCTGAACAAGGGCAACTTCGACGAGCCCGGGACCCCGCGCGGCGCGGAGCGGCGCGGCGGACTGCCTCTGGGCGAGTTCCCGAGGCTGGTGACGTTCTCTAACGACGTTTGGATCGTGCAGGCGCGCCACAAGGGCTTCCGGGGGTTGCCCCCCGCGGGGCTCCTCGCAGGGCAACGGCAGCGCCTCGCGCGGCTTCTGCGCCGCCCTGCGCCGCCGCGCAGGTTTTCCGACCGGATAATCCTCACTGCGCCGGCAGCCTGGCCACTCTGTGAAAGAAGGACAGCTCTGCTCCCTATGTGTAAGCGCTTGCGAGGCGAGCTTTCACCCTTTCTGGGAGAATCAGATCCAGAAGTACCAGCACTTGGTCCGTTTCGGACCCTTCCCGAGCTTTGCTTTCTTCTGCATGCAGAGCTTTTGATTGCCCTGTCCTTTTTCACTGGAAGCCTGCGCTTGCTGCGCCACCAAGGGCGCATCGACGTGACCGACGACCAGGCCAAGTGGCTTCCTTTGAAGGTGCGCGTCGGGGCCGCAGTAACGCTGAAGGCCCATGTGGCCCCATTAATATGTGCGCATATACCACAGCACGTATGCTTCGTTTTCGTCGAGCCCTTCGCGACTGAGGTGCTTCCGACTGTCCTGAAGTTTGGCAGGCCTGGATAGTAACGAATTTAGACGTTAGAGCACTTGTCCACGCGAGGCACTTGGGAGCCGTGGAGATTTTCCCTGTAACGCAGATGCATGAGACTCCACAGGCAGGGCCGCAGGGCAGGGCTTTCCGGCCAAGGCGAGGGCCGTGCACTGTCCAGGCGCTCACGAAGTTCGTGCTCACCTCCTTCCCGAACATCGGGTTGCCGCTCAGCTCGGACCGGGATCAGAGCATCCGCCGCACCCCAGCGAGCCTTTGCAGCTTCGCAGCTACCGGCGCGGCCCCCGCCGTTCTTTTGGCGTCTGGAGGACCGTAATGCGCTAGCATCCTGGTTGAGCAGATCAACTCGGCGACACAAGGCCCAGCCAACAGCGCGCACAAACTCTGTGCCTCTTCGTTTGAACCACCGCCGTGCTGCAGGTGCTCTTTGCCATCCCGGGCAAGAGTGAGGAGGAGTACACTATCATAAGGTGTCAGGTTGTGACAAGCCCTAAGCCTCTAATCGAGCCGATGTGAGCCTTTCGCTGACAGAAAGTCATTACACGCATTTCGGGGGGGGGGTCCTTTGCTACCGCACTCGCGGCGGGTATCCCTTCCGGGTCGGGGTGTCAGGAGCGCTACAAGTCCCACCTGGTCCCGCGGAAGCTCGCGGCCCAATGGCCGGAGACCCCAAGACATCCTTGGATGCCGAAGGTTTTTTTCGTAGGTGTTCGGGTCGCACTGCGAAGCTTCGGGCGAGGGTTTCAATTTTGATTTCAATTTTGATTCGGGGTTCGGGCGGGGGTTCAATCGGAAGTTACTTGTCGCCGTCTCAAGGTTTCAACTCTAACTTCTTCCCAGGGTGGCTGTCTTTCTTTTGCTTGTCCGGGTTTTGGAAACTCGCTGCTTCGATTCGAAGCGATCTCTCGAAGCTAGAGCTCACGATGACTTCAGATGCTTTCAAGGTTTGATGGGGACGGTTGAAGCGATGAACAGTTCGAGAGTTCGTTCGCCAGTTCTGGCAGTGGTTCCTGCACGCCATGGACATTGATCGCTGTTTCCGTGGCTACAGCCACAAGCACCAACGCTACATTGACATGGAATATTATACATAAAAGCGAAGTGTGCGACGTATGTTTCTGTAGAGACGGTGATTAGGACTTTAATTCCACAGAACAGAACAGGGCCGGAACCGGCTTCCGGCCTGGCCGAGGTCCGAGGTCTTCGAGGTCCGGTCAGCTGAGACCGAGCTCTTGCACGGCCTGCCGGCCGCCCGAACACAGAGACACCTTTGGCGCAGAGAGGGCCGTTGAGGGCAGGGGAAGCCGAGTCTCGCCTGTCTCGCCTGCCTCCTTCGCTCAGGCCCTTGCCGGCCCAGGCTCGGTTTGGAGAGAGATGCGTGCGCTCTGTTCTGTCTCTCCCTGCCCTTTTTCGAGGTGAAGGCAGCTTTGCCGTCCAAGGCGTCGGGCCAGCAGGCGCCGACCTGCTCCGAGACCCCAGTGCCAGAGCTCTGAGCCGAGTTTAGATCTCGAGGCCGCTGCTCTGCTCTTTGCCGCCAGAGGCACTCAAGAGCCAAAGGCGGTAGCGGCGTTTTCCTGGCCGACAGGCCGAGCGTTCGCCCTTTGAAGCCTTTGCCCTTTCGCCCTTTGCCCTTTCGCTGCTCCGGTGATCGCGAGGAGAGGAGGAGATGGTCTTGGAGCTGATGCGCTTCACGGAGATGGTCGGAGTCTCCCTCAGCGTGCAGAGTCGCTCCCTTAATCCTTCGCTCCTTTGCAGTGCTGCTCCGTGTGCCAGCAGCAAACCTTGCGCGGAAGCCGCAGCTGTTTTTCCGGTGTTCATGCGGCTCAGAGCAGCACCGCCACACAATTGCAGTCCAGACGGTGCAAGGTGCAGAGTTGCTTTGCCGCTCACTGGCGATGCGGAGGGTTCTCTCCTTGGAAGGGCTACATCGTTGAAATGATACTTAGATCCAGCTTGCGACCTGTGTGAAGCCTGTGTGCTCGTCGTGTCAGACCATGACCATGTCACGCAATGCTTGGAGTGCACGCAGAGATCTGCATGCTGTAGGCCGTGCAAGGGCCTCGGATTCGCATTCGCCCTTGTGCAGGTCTACTGCCTTGTGCTGCTGGATTCCCCGACCGCAGCTTTGGCGCGAGCGGCCAGCAGCTCAGCGCGCGAGCGGCTCGCGAGCGGCCCTTTCGGTGCTTCGCAGCTCTGCTCTGCTCTGCTCTGCTCGCTCTCAGCTCTGAGGCCCGCGACCTGCAAGAGTCCCGCACCATGTGCGCCGCACTGCGACTCGACGCCGCTTTTTTTGCCGGAAGGCTCCGCTCTGCGCAGGTACCAGGGGGAGGTGGCGCAGATTCGAGAAAGCGGCGGGGAGGTCGCCGAAGATGAGGTGCGAAAGCGAGCCAAGATCGAAGTGAGAGGCCGTGAGAGTGATTCCCATCCTTTTTGATCAATTGCAGGACAATTTCGTCATTCCAATCCTCCGGCTGCTGCGGCACTCCTCGCCGGGGCCGCTTAGAAGCTGCCGCTTTGGGGCCGGGCCGGAACCGGAATCTCATAGGCCGGATACTGTGATACTGTAGGGCTTGTCTCCAAGGGGCCTGGAACCCTCCGTCGCGTCTTGTGACTTGGATGCAAAAAGCGCAACCGCACACATCGGGCCGCCGAGCTTTTGCCGAGGCTTCGCTCCGAAGTTTCCGCAGGCCCGGGGCTCAGGGCCGAGCTCGAAGAGAGCACGCCGTCAGAGCGGCGTCAGCGCACCAGCACCTCAGCCTGAGAGGTGGAGAGAGCCCTCGCTGGCTCCTCGGCCTTCCTCATGGACGGGATTGATGGGGGGGAAAGGGGGGGGAAAGGGGCCCATGGGGGCCCGGGGTGAGAGCCCCCTTTATCGCGGCAGGACTTAGACACCCATCGCCTGGCACCGCTCCGGCTCAGCCTCTCCTCCTTCAAGGGCCTCTACCCCCAGATCGCCGGGGGCCCGGGCCTGGAAGCCACAAGCTGCCTTCTCCTCGCAAAACTTGAGTCATGCGATACGCTCGAGCTTCTAAAACGATGCCCAAAGCTGTCGCTGACTCACACTCTGAGGCTTATGAGGACAGCCTGAACTGGGTGGATGCTTTGGAGATCCGCTCCTTGCCAGACTGCAGCGAGGTGGAAACAGGGGGGTGAGAAGCCCACTCTCTGCTCTTTTCCGGTTGTCAGGGCATGCGGCAGCGCTTCGTGAGGCCCGGGCGCATGGCGTTTCCGTTTCTTTTTTCGACAGACGTCCCTTCGTCCCTTCGCTCAAGAAGGCAGCTGTCCCAGTCCTCGTTCACGGAGCTGGCCTGGCAGCTGATGCCGGCGCCCCGGCACCCGCCGGCACCCGGGGCCCGGCCCGGCGCACATGCCGGGGCCATGTCCGGTCAGGTTCGCGCTCTTTCTGGTGGAGGTGATCGCCAAAGCCCTGGCAAGCGGGTCAGTCTTGTGGTGGCTAGGCGGGGCATCTGCTTTTGCGCGGTCACTCAAGTCACCCGGCGCGCCACAAGGTATACAGCCATAGTCTGCAAAAGAAGCATAGATGCAACAAGCGCAACATCGAACAAGCAGCAACTAAGGCAATCACAGAACAAGCCCCAGCAGTATACGGCAGTAGTCCTCGTCAAGCTCACGCAGGTCGTCACATTGGAAGCTGAAAAAGACCAACAGAACCAGTAGGGACTGAGCCCTTGAACGACCACGACGCAGGTGTTGGTAGGACTCTTATCGTACTTTCATCAAGTGCCAGCTTTCTCGTGTCGCCAGGTGCATCTGGCATGGTGTTTGCCACGCTGTCGAGGCACGGTGTGTGACAGTCTGCAATGTTGTGCTATGGAGCTTGTTCTGGGCGTGTCTTTGGCAGAACACTACGACGATGTTTATGGTTCTTCGTAGGGAAGGTCCTGCAAGGTCCCTGAACTGCCCCCCCTTGCAGGTCTCCGCCTTTCCTGCGTTTGCCAGACTCCGAGTCGGCTCGTGCTTCTCTTGCCATCTCTTGCTCGGTTCCCGCAGCGGCCCCCTGGCCGCGGCCCTCTTAGGCTCATGAGCTACGTGCCGGAGTTCTTTCTGACCCCTCAGCTCCTGGAGGGCTGATGGAGAAAAGAGCGGTCAGACTCGTCTTGCGAGTAGGCACGAGATGACACTGAAACCTCTGGTCTTTAACTGCTGTTCTCTGCGCTTTTTGCTGCGCCTGCCGGTGGCTCTCTGAAGCAAAGAGGCGCGCAGAGTTTTGTGTTTCGGACGTTTCTGGGCGGGCAGGGCGGGCCGAGTGCCGTGAGCATTGGCGCCATGGATCCGGAGGCCTGGGCCCCTAAACCTGGGGGTTTCCGAAAAGGGTACCTTATTTGGTCCTTATAGGCATCCTACCATTTGGTACGAAATAAAGGGTCCCCTATTTTTGGGAACCCCCACCGCCCTCTCCTCTCCCTCAGCCTCTCTGTCGGAGCTTTTGTGCTCGGAGAGGTGAAGAAGAAGTTGCAAGTGAAAGCCGCCGTGGCCTATGGGCGTGCAGCGCAGGCCACCGCAGAGACATCTGCATTGACACAACCCCGTCGCAGTAAGCGTTGAGGCATGGAATGCCTGGGGACACGCAGGATTCTGAGAACGTCGATCGGAGCAGACATCTAGTTAGCTCCCATCATGTTCTCACGGATGCTGCTTAGGCAGTCTTTCATTACAGCATGGTCCCTGGCATCTTTGCCTACGGACTGTGGTGCGCACCCATTCCATGCCCCAGCAGCTACACCACCAAGAACCAGCCATGGAAAGCTCAATTGCAGGTACTCAGGCGAGTTCACCCTCGATCCTATGACGCTATTCGTTCCGTCCTTTGAGAGGTTGTTGTGCCCTTGGACGGGGCTTGCCTGAACACGCGCTGGACTCAGTTCAAAATAATCCTCGACTCCTAAACGTGGACATCCTCGATGCGCAGATGTGCAATGCAGAGGCCTTCGAGCACGGCTGCCCGTTTCAGGGTCTGTGGCTGTTGTGAGCACTGCAGCGGAGGTCCAAGCCACCTGGTGACTTCGCGAGGTGGCAAAGTGGCGTAACCCCAAAGTACAGAAGACCCCGTTCAGCTCTCTTGGGCTCTTGGGTCGGTGCCCCGCAAGTGAACGGGGGAGTCTTCAAGACAGCCCGCGGTCTTGCAAAAGAAGCCTTGGTTTGGAGCATCCAAGTGCGGCGCGTGCAAGCTCTCTGTTGCTCTCGTCCCGAAGCCACCGTAGCTTGCCATCGTCATTGTGATTGTTGATGCCTGATGGCTTTGTTCCCGAAAAGGCGTGCCGGGGCTAAGCTTTTTAATTAAGGGCCTCGATGTTTGCAGCTCATGACCGCCCTGCTTCCCGTCTTGGCATTCCTTGAGTGTCTTTCCGGTGTCGTTTCTGCAACTTGTTACTTCCCCGCACCTGGCTGGCACATGGCAAGCGTCGCAGCAAGGACATTGAGTTTGCATGTTCGCACTCCCCTAGCCTCGAATCCTCAAGGGATCGAGCAGAAACATAGGTGTCAGCTGCAGAGGCTAGCCCTGGACGTGCTCATGAACATTGATTGCATCATACTGCATCATGAAAATGTGCATTTTGTTTTCAGTCTGACAAGACCGGCCGCACGCAAAAATGCGGCGAGGTAGTCGGTAGCGCGATGGCGGGCTTGCGGCGGGTTGAATCTTCCCCTGAGCTGTTGCAGGCGACCTACATCAAGGTCACTCCAAATCCTGCTATTTGGCCACAGCCGGTGCAAGTTCTCTGCAAAGTGGCTCGTCGAAGTCTCCAAATTGACGATGTTGCCTTAGTGTTGGTCCCGCTTGACATCCTTGCGATGGAGTCGCGGCAGTTACGGCCATCACAAGTGATGCAGCACCGGCTGCAGCTTGCCTGCACAGACGTTACCCGCAGTATCTGCAGTCTTAGTTTTATAACATGTGCACACGGCCTATTGTGGCAGTGGTAGCTTGTGGGGATGAAGCCCGATCCAGGCTCAGCCGCGAATTCCAGTGCGGGCCAGCTGTCAAGATGGCCCAGCACAGCCGACCGCAGCCTGCTCAAATGAGGATTGTTCCGAAGGTGTGGATGCCAAGTAGAACTGGTGCAAAGATTGTCGTTGTCCTGGCAGCTTGCAATGAGCAGCTGGGCCGGGCATGGGCCGCAGCGCGTGGCGCGTGATAGATTCTCTGGAGTTTGAGGTTGTTGTAAGCCGGATGTCACCCGAAGAGGAGGAGCTGTCGCACAATTTGGCGACGGTGTTGCACGAGCTTGGGGTGTGGTCGGGCTATTTACAGAGCATGCACGTGATCCCAAATCTCGGCACCAACGATGTCCTATCTGCTTTTTATGGAGCTCAGCGTGCAATATTTAGTAGGATGGACGTGCTCATGAGACGAGGGTTTTCTTACGCAGCCATCGTAGAAATCAGAAGTCAGAAGCAGTCCTGGCGAGACGAATGGCAGAAGTTGAAGGCCAAAGACTTTGAGCACGTGTCCAATTTGCTATCCGGGTTCCCGAAGTTGGACTTCCCAGCACAGATGGGCCTTGCTAGAGCGCCTCCACAGCAAGCATGGCAAATGGTCGCAGAGGAGGTCTGCAATTTGTTTCTCAAGCTGCAAGACATGTACAAGCCTATCACTTTGTTTCAGCCCGCTCCCGAGCAGGAGGCCTCAGTATGCAGTCAAGATCTTTCATGAGCTTGCTGCTTGGGCAGAGCAGATGCCACAGATTGCTGGTGGACCGGGCAGTGGCAACTTGGACTCCACAGCCGCTTCGGCTAAGGTCGTGGACACACAGCAAGTAATCTGGACCGAGATGCAGGTGATCATGGGACATGATTTCAGCAATGCTGCCAATGCTGCCAAAGTCTTCTTTGCGAGGTGCCGGCGACGATCTGGATCCGTGCGTCGCGACTTGAGCGGTTTCCCTGCGCTGGAACCTCCCAGCCTCTGTGTAAGGGCCGGAGAGGCCGCAACGGCCGTTCAGCGAATCAAGAGCATGGTTTCAGAAAGGGTCTACTCCTTGTTCGTGCAGCTGCAAGATGTGAATTCCCGGCACATAGCGACCCAAGCGTTTCCAGACGAGGAGGCTGTGTTGGATTATTTAGGTCAGGTCTTGCATGAGCTTGGTGCTTGGGCAGAGCAGATGCCACAGATTGCTGGTGGACCGGGCAGTGGCAACTTGGACTCCACAGCCGCTTCGTCTAAGGTCGTGGACACAGCAAGTAATCTGGACCGAGATGCAGGTGATCATGGGACATGATTTCAGCAATGCTGCCAATGCTGCCAAAGTCTTCTTTGCGAGGTGCCGGCGACGATCCGGATCCGTGCGTCGCGACTTGAGCGGTTTCCCTGCGCTGGATCCTCCCAGCCTCTGTGTAAGGGCCGGAGAGGCCGCAACGGTCCTTCAGCGAATCAAGAGCATGGTTTCAGAAAATGTCTACGCCTTGTTCCTGCAGCTGCCCGGAACACAGTGATCCAAGCGTTTCCAGACGAGGAGGCTGTGCTGGAGTATGCACGTAAGGTCTTTCATGAGCTTGGTGCTTGGGCAGAGCAGATGCCACAGATTGCTGGTGGACCGGGCAGTGGCAACTTGGACTCCACAGCCGCTTCGGCTAAGGTCGTGGACACACAGCAAGTAATCTGGACCGAGATGCAGGTGATCATGGGACACGACTTCAGCAACGCTGCCAAAGTCTTCTTTGCGAGGTGCCGGCGACGATCTGGATCCGTGCGTCGCGACTTGAGCGGTTTCCCTGCGCTGGAACCTCCCAGCCTCTGTGTTAAGAGCCGGAGAGGCCGCAACGGCCGTTCAGCGAATCAAGAGCATGGTTTCAGAAAACGTCTACTCCTTGTTCCTGCAGCTGCAAGACGTGAATTCCCGGAAGATGGTGATCCAAGCGTTTCCAGACGAGGAGGCTGTGTTGGATTATTTAGGTCAGGTCTTGCATGAGCTTGGTGCTTGGGCAGAGCAGAGATCAAAGCGGGCGTTGGCTTCCATAAGGTGAACGAGACGGTGTTTAAGGAGCTTCAGCCTAAATTAGAACATGCCTTGATCAGCATCGTTAAAGATGGTGGCATATGCTAACCACCGGGTAGACTCCCGACTGCACCCTCGCCGTCATCAAGACGATGCTTGTGCGGATTCAGTATGCTGATGCCCCGTCCAAGCACAGAAGGTTTGGTTGAGAATCGAGGTTTCCAAAATAAATGACGCGATGGGCCTGCATCCACAAGGCAGAGCCGAGCCTGTCGGACCCCGAGCGCAGCAGCGAAGTCGCAGAACCGTCCCAAAGGGATTGGAGGAGGTCTCACGTGGGCCTAGCCCGTTCTGTTAATGTAACGGAGCTGCATGCACCGACGCAAAGCTGAAACAAGACTTGCGTGGCAGATGCATATTTGGTAATGGATATATAGTAATACACTCGCAGCACAGCATGCAGATGCATCCCGTGGCAGCGAAGAGCCAAGCAAGGTGAACCCTAGACACCCCCATCCATTTGGAAGCTTCCTATACAGCGCTAGCCCACCCCGCCCCTTGAAGCCCATGGGGCAGCTCCTCACATCCCGCTTGGGTGATACTATAAAACGCCAAACGGGGACTGCAGAACGTAGGCCAGCAGCCAGGGTTTCGTGGCCATGCGGTCGCCAATCGCAGGGCCGAAGGGGGCTAAGGCATGCCCTGAAATGGAAGTTGCTACGAAGGCTTCTGCGTGGCTATTGGCTCCAGCTGTGCATCGGCCCTACCTGGCAGTGCTCTAGCTTGAGCCGCGATGGACCCATGGTTTCCCTCGCCTTCCTAGCCGCGGCTTGCCCTGAGCTTGACGGCAGCTTGGACGGCCAACAGAGTCGCGGAGAGAGACCGTGCTCCGAACACAGCCAAGGTGAGGCTGCCGAGGAGGCAGAGACTAGCCGTCCAAAGAAAAGACGGCTTGATAAGGGAGATGTAGCACGCTGTGGTCTCCACTCGGCCTTCCAGGCGGGGCAACTCAAGCGCAGGGCTGCCGAGAGATCCGTCGGTACCGCTTTTCGTCCTGCTATGTCGTGCTGCCGAGATACAACGTATTTGCTTCGTCGGCTGTGTCCATTTTGTGTGTACTGCGAGTCGTGGGCGACTGCACTGGCTTTCTGACAAATTGAAGGCGGTAGAATGGTGCAAGGAGGTCTGCCTACATAATGTCGAGTTGCAGCACGTGCTGCTCTGGAACTCAGATCTGTGTTCGCGCATGGCAATCTCATGCACTCTTGTTTTCGCAGTGTTTTGGTGTTGGATGTTCATGTTTGGGGCAATGCAGGCCTTCATCATGCCCGTATTTTTTTTTTTTTTTTTGGGGGGG